TGTCACTTTTGTGTTTGGGGTCGTTTACCCCCTCTTAGGCCTTGTTTGGCCCCTTTTTTGTGTGATTTTGGTGAGCTCCGGGACCACCTTGTTTGGGATGATTCTTTCTAGAGCTGCGCAACAAAAATCGACTCTTACTGGTTTTTTTGATTATTGTGCTTCCAATGAAAATGAATGCCAATTCACTTACCAAGAATTTCCGCAACACTTTGTTTGGCTCAAGTCAGAACATAGATGGAAACCAAGAGAACATGGATATGCAATTGGTAGAATATACTTTGCTAGCCCAAACTGTGGTGAAAGGTTTTATCTGCGTTTGTTGTTAATTGTTGTCAAAGGGTCAATATCGTTTCAATGTTTACGTACAGTTAACAATGTTTTGCATGAGACGTTTAAATCAGCATGTGTTGCCAGAGGACTCTTAGAAGATGATGAAGAATGGATACAGTGCCTGAAAGAGGCTGCAGTTATGAAAATCGGATATCAATTGAGGAGATTGTTTTGTATTATTTTGACCCAATGTTTTCCACTACAACCACATGCGTTATGGAATCAATTTTCAATGCATATCTGTGATGATCTTGCACATAAGCTTCGTACATTGTTTGCCATTTCTAACCCAACTGAGGCTCAAATTGAAGATTATGGTTTGTATCTTTTGAGTCAAATGCTTTAAGAATCAGGAAAGAGTTTAATTGACTTCCCGCCCATGCCACAACCTACAGCAAATTGGAGTGCAACAGTTGGTAACCGATTGATATTCGAACATCAACAACTACATAATGAGGCACAACAGACAGATGTGCAAATTACTATTGATCGCCTCAATAATGGACAACAAACTGCTTATAACGCAATCACCTCTTCAGCCTTTGAAAGTAAAGGGACTATTTTCTTTTTGAATGGCGGTGCTGGAACGGGGAAAAAATTTTTGTACAATACGATTGCATTAAAATGTCGCAACCTTGTCCATATTGTTGTTGCCGTGGCTTCATCTAGAATTGCATCATTGCTATTAGTAGGAGGTCGCACTGCACATTCAACATTTTCCATTCCATTGGATGTCTTGGAAAATTCAGTTTGTGGGTTTAGCAAGCAATCATTACAGGTTGAATTGTTTAGAAAAACAAAATTCATAATTTGGGATGAAGTTCCTATGCAACATAGACATTGTGTTGAGGCGATTGATCGCACACTTCGAGATATTTGTGATTGTGAAAAGCCATTTGGGGGTATCACTGTTGTTCTTGGTGGAGACTTTCGACAAATCTTACCAGTTATAACCAAAGGAGTTCGTGAGCAAATTGTGAATGCATCATTGAGACACTCTGTTTTGTGGAAGGATTTACATGTTTTATCTTTAGATTTGAATATGCCCTTGAATCATGCAAACCTTGGAAATGCTATTTTTGCAAAATTCTTGACGAAGGTAATACTCATTCGAACTTTGATTATACCATTTAAGGATACTTTGATTACACAATTTTTTAAATTTTATTTTATTTTATTTATTAGGTTGGAACCAATCCGCAAGAAATCATTAAAATTCCATCAACAATACACAGATGCCAGGATATAAAGGAATTACTCTCAGTAGTTTATCCACAATTGGATGTGGCAGATACATCAACCCCATCATTCTTAACGGAACGTACAATTCTTTCTGCACGAAATGATGATGTCAGTGCTATCAATATTGCTGCGTTGAATATTTTTCCAGGGAATACATATACGTATCTTGCTGCAAATAAGATGGCTGAAGATGATGAAATTGATCCTTCCATTACAAACGGATATCCTAATGAGTTTTTAAATTCATTGGATCCTCCTGGGCTACCAGCTTTTAAGGTAGAGTTGAAAGTGGGTTGTCCTATAATGTTATTAAGAAACATTGCACTGAAAGATGGACTGTGTAATGGCACAAGATTGATGGTATCAAGGTGCGACACTCGCATAATTGAAGCTCGAATCTTAACTGGAGAGAAGTTTGGCAATTTGGCATTTATACCAAGGATATCATTGACTCCGTCTTCTGCAGAAATGCCTTTCAGAACGACAAGACGTCAATTTCCAGTTCGATTGGCATACGCTTTGACCATTAACAAATCTCAAGGACAATCTGTGAAATTTGTTGGGGTTGATTTGCGTACACCTGTTTTTAGTCATGGGCAACTATACGTGGCATTATCCAGATGCACATTTTTCGATAGTATAAGTATCCCCCTCCCTAATGATGAGCCAGATTCCACTACAAATATTGTTTACCCTGAAGTTTTGTTATGAAGACCTTTCAGAATTATGGGAAAGAACAAATTTGAAGACATTATTAAACACATATTTTTGTAAAGTATATACATTTTGTAAAGCAGACGATAGCTATGACCCACTTTTTGTAAAGCTTTCCACCTATGTGGACTTTGTTGTATTTCAAATATTTTTGTGGAGCCTTTTATACCCCTATATTTTTGCATTTCCATAATAGCTAAGTTTGATTTAAGAGTGCTGACTTGATCTTTTACAATTGAGTTATTATTTTGGACATGTAAGTTGATTTATTACTTTGGACATGTAAGTTGTCACTACTTTGGACATGTCAGTTGTCACTACTTTGTATACACTTTTTTATTTTTTTTCCTTTTTGTATAAAATTATGTTCTCTTTTATTGTCATAGGATGATGGAGATTTGCACCAAATTGTTATATGGGCTTTCTTTACTCATCTTCTTTTTTCATTGAGAAAATTACAAATCAATGAGTTTTTAAATATTTTGTGAAGTTATCACCTATTTATAATTTTTCTTATTTAATTTACTCTTCTTACTATACATTTTCTTTCAAGTATTGATACTAGCAATACTTGATGGCTATTAGATGACTTTAAAATCTTTTTAATTTGACTATTTTGTAAAGCAACAATTTGTATTCTATAGTTGATGTAATTGATGATTTTCACATTAATTTGACAAACCATATGAGTTGCAGGAATTATTTTTTTTTACCATTTATTGTTGGGATACTATGGCATAGAGTTGATTTCTTCTTCATGATATGATGCATTTAGTTTTTCAATGCTTTCCGTATCTTGATTGGAAAATTATTTCAAAATATTTGATTTCCGTATCTTAATGTGAAAACAATTTCTAAAGACTACTATTTGCGAGGTTATGGTATTTATGTTCTGTGTATTATATAGATTTCAATCAGATATTTGTGGCTTGGGGTACTATGACACTCACCAATGTATCAGGTGTTAGCCACAAACTAATGGTAGGAGTGCTGACTTGAACTTTTATCAGGTGCTACAGACTCTACAAATTTTAATATGATAAGTACAAATTACAACTACATTTTAATCTCAATATTATTTACACCGTGCCTTTAGGCACGGGCATACACTAGTATATTATAAGCATAAATTGTATAAATATTTGACATAAACTCTCAAAATATAAAAGAATCATAAGCATTCCTCATAAGTTGTACCGAATAATAGCACATGAAAATACAAGATCTATTAATTTTGGAATGAGTCATATGAGAATTAAGGAACAAATTATTGCTCCAGTTTTAGTGTTTGATATGAAGGGAAATGAAAGTAAAAATAAATATATATATATATATATATATAGTGAATGGAAAATGAGTTGATTTGAAGAGAAAACATTTTTCACTTCTCAAACTGAAAAAAAAAAAAAACATTTGAATTAAATAATACAAACTAAAACTAGAGTCTTACCAAGACAACCATCATTCTCACTACAATCACCAATATCAACATGTTTTAAGGACACAATCAAACACAAGAAAATATTATTTTATGAAAATTTATTTTTTTAAAATTTTTTTCATAAAAATTACTTCTAAACTAAATGGGAAACAATATCAAGAACATAAATGGAAAACTAACTTCTATAATTTCTTAGTGAGGACAACACAATATTACCCAATTACTGCTAGTAGATTACAAAACGTATACACCATTAATCCCTCATACATAAAAAGCTGAAAAACAGAGAACATTTTTTGGGTACATATCAAGCCAAACCCATTCGGTGAAAAACAGGGCCGAAAGATTACAAATCCATACACCATTTTTCCCCAGTTTGATTCCAGAGAAAGCTCAGAATTAACGAGGGGTGAAAGAACACAAATCAAACACTCAAATCATCTACTATTTCAATTGTTAGAGAGACCGATATATATATATATAGAGAGAGAGAGCACTTACCCGCAAGAGGATAGTCGGCGGTGTTGGTGGAGGAGAGGAGAGTCGGTGGTGCTGGTGGAGATGGAGAATCGGCGGTGCCGGTGGAGAGGAGAATCAGTGGTGTCAATGAAGAGTTTGTTTGTAGTGATGAACCAAGATTGAATTTAGGGCAAAAACAGAAAAGAAAAAAAAATAAAGAGGAGGGGTATATATATCAGCCTCTAAAACTATGTCGTTTTAATTTTTTTCAATTACTTTTTGTGACGGCACAGAATACCGACACAAAAGTGACCTGAAATGGCGCGAAAAAAAGGCACGCGATGTAGTTTTTGGAGCCAAAAAATGGAAAAAAAAAAATTAAATAATTTTTGTTTG